AGTATACTGCTATAATATATCAAATACCAGAGTATACTGCTATAATATATCACATACCAGAGTATACTGCTATAATATATCAAACATCAGAGTATACTGCTATAATATATCCCATACCAGAGTATACTGCTATAATATATCAAATACCAGAGTATACTGCTATAATATATCAAATACCAGAGTATACTGCTATAATATATCACATACCAGAGTATACTGCTATAATATATCAAATACCAGAGTATACTGTTATAATATATCAAATACCAGAGTATACTGCTCGTTGCTTTAAGAAAAAGTATGTTAAGACGAAGTAATTAGCGTTGGAATGAACTGCTTTGCCTGTGGTACTATCTATACCTTACATTCGGAATATTAATCTTACGTTACATTAAATTCTCTCTGTTTTACAACGACTCAGGGAGTACAAAAAATTTACAAAAGACGTGTTGTTGTTGTTTTTTTTCTGTAAATTACTCGCTACATTTATTTATAATGAAATTCTAAGGTGCGTCAGTTCAACATCATGGAAATCAGGCACCATAGGTGGGCAAATTTTTCGGGCATGGCTAATTCAAGGTGCTAAAATTCATTTCTAAAACACTAGTTTAGACTAAAAAAATTGGTTCTACTAACTCGCGTTATGTTCTTTGGAAGAATAATTAGTAGCATTAGTCCATTAAATATACATCGGCAGTCGTGTATAAATCATACCTCAAATCTCTGTTTCTGTCAGGTCACTCTTAATAAGTCAATTACTTCTTATGTATATTCATGAAATATGAAAATGGTCAGCTTCCTCTGTCAATTTTTTATCTCTTCTGCTTAAAATATGTATATTAAATTACAATTTCAAGCATTTTTCAATAGTATTTCGCTTTCACGTAAAGGCCATAATTTAGCAAATGCCTCTAAGTGATTTTTAAACTCTTAAGTGCTCGTAATACTGATCTTTATTTTGAAAACATAAAATAATCTGTATCTGTGCTTTCTTAAAGAGTTTACATATTTTGAATTTCGTCTTTCAAAAGCAAACACACATTTAATGCAAGTTTATCGTTAATTCACTGTCAACGTTTGTAGCCACCTTTAACTTTAACTCTTTTTTATTGTTAACAGTTCTTCTCAAAAACCAACATTTTAATTATAAATGTAATTTTAACCAATGGCTACTCCGATGAGCTTAAAAGTGGCCAGGGAACACCTTAAAGTAGCCTTGGGTCAAGTAACTAACTATATTAATAAATTGTCAAACAGTTTTATCAACATTCAGTTATTTCTAATACAGAATTGAACTAGTTTATTATTAAAAAGTGTATTGTCGTTCTTACATTTATAAATGTTTCAGAATGGAAATGACCTGTGGTCAGCTTTTAAAGAGAAGTTGAACTACAGTAACATTAAAACAAAAACTGGTTGAAAGTGTTTTGGTTGACAACTTAAAACAAGATGGATCCTCTAAAAGCATATTTATAATCAGCTCTGGCAATCAAAACATTCTAATCGAACTTTATTGATTTGTAAAAATTATTATGTAAGGCGACGTCAACAACATATATCAACTTCAAATTTCATGTTTACTTATATTGAAAATAAGTGAAAAAAAACATCACTTCTCTTTATAAACAAACGTCGAGTGTAATACATTTTTACATGGAAAAACATAAGAATAGAACCACAATATTACAAATTCCATTTAGAAATAAGTCGTTTTTACTATTATTTTTTGAATTAATTCATCATTCTAAAAAGCAAAATATTTGTAGGTTTTACAGGTAAGGTTAGCCGAACGTTAATGAATGGGTATTTACTTTACAATAAATCAGCATACATTGAGATCACGTGTTTTAACGACTTCTCTGAAAGAGTACTTACTACCCATATGTCTACTTACATCACGTCTTCTTCATGTTTACAGAGAAACCAGTAAACTGCTTCTTTTCCTTTGGTACCAAATGCTAACAGTTGTGAAGTTCTATAGCCATTTGGTAAAGCAGGTCTTTTCGGAACACGAGCTGTGAAGGGACCATAAGCCATCAATTCTGGCGCATTTTTTATGATGACACTTCCTTCCGGTTCCATCTTATCCTTGTCTTTAAACCACACGAGAGTACTATCATTGAAGAGCACGACATATTCCTCCTTCCAGTCTTTACTAAATATACGCTCTAAAACAAACAAGTAGAAACCAGGTTAAAATTAGCACATTACTGAAAGCTTATCTTACACGAGTTTTCCCCGCTAATCATTATCAGTGATGTTAAAATAACCAAGTGGAAAGCAGGTTAAAATTAGCACATTACTGATAGCTGATCTTACACGTGTTTTTACATTTAATCGTCACGTAAGATATACTTATGAGTAAACAAAAGCCACAATCTCTTCAAAAATTACTTGGAATAAGATATATTTACAAGAAGTGTCCGAAAAGTTCGTGCTCAGGTCTATAAAGGCAAGAGGCAATGGTTCAACTATGATTTATTTTTCAGTATAATCTCTTCTTGAGTCTATACACTTGCACTATCAGTGGTGTAAGGCTATTATGCCCTTCTGAAAGAACTCTACCACTTGGTCTTCAATCCATGACTGGACGGTTTGTATGAGATCATCACCATTCTTAAATCTTAGGCCTTTTAGAAAGATTATAAGGTTAGGAAAAAGAAAAAAAAATTACTTGGAGCTAAAGCCGGTGAATAAGGGGGTGACTGAATAATTCGAAGCCAGCATCATGGATAGCGTTCAAAGCAATACGCGATTAAGATGCATAGTAATCTCCTGTATCGGTTTGAACCCTTTCCAAATAATCAACTAGTAAAACGCCCTTGGCATCCAAAAAAAAATTGATGCTATGACTTGAACTTCTTTGAGTGGGTGAACTTCGGTGTATCCATTGCAAATTTTGCATTTTTGTCTCTAGGTTGAAGTGCCACATTTATTCCATAGTTACGCATCTATTCACACCTTTGGAGCAGGCGTGGACTTTTAACAACTCGGATCAATTTCTACTCAGATGACACGCTTTTTGGAACCCATCTGGTATTAACCTTACTCTTGCTCAAACTGTCACTCAAAATTCTTGCTACAGTACTTTTACGGATTTCCACTTCCCCTTCTAACTTCTTAATGGTAATCCTTCTACCATATATAACCAAATAATAAACTTTATCTACAATATATTGTGGTCGATGCCGAAGGCCGACCTGACCTCAGATCATCTTCACATTATTGTCTATCGCGCATAAACTCAACACACCACTTATTCACTGTTGAATATTCCGGAGCGCCCTCTCCTAATGTTGCTTCCAATGTCTTAGTGAATTTCTTGTTAACAATATATTTGATCACTGCACGAAGTTCGATCTTCTCCTTAACGTTCAATACTGCTCACATCTTTTCTTCATAAATCCACAACACACAAAATAAACTCGTTAAGTTATATGTCACGGGTTGTTTACACATAAAAAGGTTCAAACTTAATACTTATCAGAAAAAAAATCATACTATTCGGCTTTTTTAGTCGGACCACGAACTTTTCGAACAACCCTCGTAAATCAGTAAACTATTAAAATGTTATATCTCTTTATTAGCTACATACTTTAGAGTTTCTAAAAATATTTTAATAATTTATGAAAATGAAACATGAGAATTGTGCTGGAAAATGCCTTAATAAGGATAAAAAAAGACTGAAAGATTTCAAAATACAGTAAATTCACTTTTTGTCACATAATGATGCTGCATATTTTCAATAAGTGTAATAAGTATAAATCTTCAGAGGACAGACCAATGTTCTGTCGAAACATGTAATATGTTTTTAAAATAAATAGCACTATGCCTAAAGATCGTTGTCTGCTAATTTACTATTGTGTTAGAATAATGTGCTTCCCCACATATATCCTGGAATACACCTTCTCAACCATCAATGTGTTAACACGGTTGATAAAAAGGTTCGGAATTTTCATAAATGAGTCAGAATGAATGGTATTTCCTGCTGTCGTAACCCACACCTTAAGCCTCAAATTACCGAATTGTATCTGTACTGTCCACTACTGGCAGGGATCACATATTGCCACATATTGCGTATTTTTATGTTTATGCTTGCTGCAACACTGAGTGTAAAGAAATGAAAAAAAAAAGATGAAATCACTGATTTACTATATAAAATAAACAGGAAACCCAGTAGAATTATCGAAATTAATTGTACTATTGACGGGGTTATTGTTTACTCTTTTTGGTGTGACTCATTTATTTTTAGGGGGTCTTATAACCAACAGTCATAGACCTGCAAGCAATTGATGATAAATGATATAGAAAACGTGTATAAAATTCGAAGATAAAAGGAGTATAAATACGAAATAACGTTCACAGATATGTCATTATTTTTATCAATTTCACCCAAATGATATGAAAGCAAACAGTGCTTTTTTATATGTATATATATATAGACGTACGAGTGTAGGGGAGGGGAATATATGTGTGTCTAATGTAACTATATATACTTGTGTAATGATATCAGTATACAGACTACAAGCCACTATAGCTATTTTGGTAAATGATATAATCTAATGATATAGATTTGCACTGCTCTAATCACAGATTTCATTTATTACCAAGAAAAAAAAAGAATACAATATCACTGATTCTATTTAAAGTGCTATGATTAAAGATCTGAAATTAAATATTTTAGACATTTTGACAATAAAGTCTGAAAACAATTACCTTTTCTTTCCAAGTAAAAAACTTTTTATTTCAGCCAACATTTTGCCCTTGCGACTTCACCAGGGCTGGTGAAGAGAAATCCTTCTCCATTCTTCAAACCAATATATGATTTTGTTTGAAGAGATAAAAGTTGTAAACACAACAGATGTTTTAAGCGCACTTTAGGCATTTACGACAGTGCATTATGTATTTAATCTAGCATACCAAATAAAGATTGGCAAGGTGCTACAGTTTCTTCAAAGTCATCCTTGGTATGGAAGACAAAGAGGTCATCTTCAAACTTGTCCTATCTTTAACAGAATTTAAAAACTTACCTAAGAAAATGAAAACCAGGAATTGTTGGGATTACGTTATTATTACTCATGTGATTAACTAAGGTGTAGCTACATTTATATATATTTTTTTCTTATTTTTGATTCTATTTGTAATAAATGTAGTTCAAATTTTAGTCAAACTACATTGATTGGTATTACTTAAGGATTGTTCTACTTAACTATATAAGATGTACAGGTAAACCTGTAAAATTTTGTTCTGTTATTTTTTATTTGATTTTCAAGATTATTTGAACGAATAAATGTTTCAGATTGGACTTGTAGATGTAGTGTTTGATAATAAGAAACGTTAACACCATGACGATATTAAATACATTAATGAAAGAAATCCATTTGTTGAACATTTTTGTCTATGATCTGATTTTATGCACACTGGACTAGAAATAACTAGTGAAAAAAGTGTTATCAATAAATAGTTCTTGTGGTAGCGGTGGTTTTAGCGCAAATGGGCTATCTGTGCTCTATCCACCACGAGGACTCTAACCCCGGATTTAACGTTTTAATTCAGTAAACTTACCAGTCCAGTCTATCCTGACATGGTGGGAATTTGGGGGGATGAAATATAACCAATGGCGCTCAGAAACTTTTGTTTCTCTTCACCCCACTGCGTGATTTAATTTTGACCAGTTTTTAAAGGTCATCCTAAGGACAAACGCGGGACAAGCTATTTCTGGTTATGTTGACGTGATTTTGGTTTACAGCGTGGTAATAGTTAAGGTATTAATAGGTCGTAATAGGTGAAGATTTTATGATACAGTACATATCTTTAATAATAGTGAATTGTATCTGATACGCAGCATCTCACTTTGTAATAGTTGATATTTTACTGCAACATTACATATTTATCTTAGGTTCAGGTTTATTTTGCACTCTTACCTACACTAGGACAACTGTAACTGGGTTGTTCTATGATTACTAAAGTAGCTCCAGTTGTTCTGTTACTCAGTAAGTTATTAGATAATATCGTAGTTCCAGTCACACAAGTTTGCGTGTCTACAGACAAAATAGAATAGTTAATTGTCCGAGAATTCATCCATTCTTATAGTTCTGGTAACTGAATACTTATAATGTAGATTTTGATAAAAGAGTTAGCACAAAGGATCACATATAAAGTGTAATAGACTTAAAATAAGACCCTAAACCAGAGCGCTTTCGATTGTTTGTTTTTGAATTTCGCGCAAAGCTACACGAGGGCTATCTGCGCTAGCCGTCCCTAATTTAGCAATGTAAGACTAGAGGGAAGGCAGCTAGTCATCACCACCCACCGCCAACTCTTGGGCTATTCTTTTACCAACGAATAGTGGGATTGACCGTCACATTATAACGCCCCCACGGCTGAAAGGGCGAACATGTTTGGTGTGACAGCACTTTCGAATAGTTGACTATTCTTCTTCTTTGTTCTCCTGAAGAAGAATAGTCAACTATTAGAAAGCGCTCGAGTTTTGAGTCTTATTTTAGGTCTACTTACAAAGTAGTGTATTACTACTGTTTAAAGAAAGTTATTAAACTGGTTTTGTCCACATCCTTATCTGACTTTGATCATAGATATAAAGTTAACACTATTTGTGAAGGAAAGGAAAATAAACCTATTTGGAGTGTTCAAATTCGATGACGAGGAACCCACTTTGAGACTAATAATGGCTGGAGACGGCTTAAATGGGTAATGAAGAAAAACTTTAATATAAGTTTAACATGACAGCAAATGTACAACGTTTCGATACCAAATACTAGTTGTCTACTTTGGGTTCTCTGGATTTAAAATTATCAAATGAAAACTTTCAATATGAGAGGCAAAAATGACCAAAGTTGTAGTTATTTACTGCTTACTTGCCTATAACTTAGATAAAAAAAATGTAAGAATTTTGTTTCATCGGAAATAGGCACAACTGTGACACGCCTCATAGTTTTATGTAAATACTTTATTGTTATACTCGTTACGCTTTTCTTTCAAGCGCCCCTCAGTGGCACAGCGGTATGTCTGCGGACTTACAGCGCAAGAATCCGGGTTGATACAGTAATTATTTAAGATATTTTAACCGAATCATAGTTTCTTTTATTTATTCAGCCCGTGCCAGAAAAGTGACGACTTCTAGTCTTCCATAAAAAAAACTATTTCGATT